AAAATAAAAATTAAAAAAAAAAAAAAAAACAGAAAGTAACAAATGTTAATGAGGATGTGGAGAAAAATGATGCAGCCACTATGGAAAATAGTATTGTGACTCCTCAAAGATTAAACATATGAGGGGACTTCAAAATGTTTGTGGAAAATGGAATTAAAGAATAAAAATAAGAAATACAAACTTTATTTCTCAACATAAGCTCCATCAAGTTCAAGACACTTTTATAAGCCATGATAACAGCATTTAGTCCATCCCTATAGAGCTGAGGGTCCTGGGAATTTAATCATGTCAATGCAGTCTTTTTTACAAAATTAACTGAAGAAAAATGGGGGCCCTTGAAAAAATTTTTAAGATTAGGAAACAAAAAGAAGTTAGAAGGAGCCAAATCAAGACTGGAAAGTGGAGGTCTAATGATTTCCCACCAAAACGCTCACAGAATTGCCCTTGTTTGGAGAGAAGTGAGCAGGAGCATTGTCGTAGTAGAGGTGGATTCTCTGGTTCTTTCCCAGTCGTTTTTCTGCTAAAGCTTTGACTAACTTTCTCAAAACACTCTCACAATAAGCAGATGCTGTTGTACTTTGGACCTCCAGAAAGTCAAAAGGGAAAATGGCCTTGAACATTTCAAAAAACTTGCCATAGCTTTTGCTTTTGACTGGTCTGCTTTGCTTTGACTGGACCACTTCTACCTCTGGGTAGCCATTGCTCTGATTGTGCTTTGTCTTCAAGACCATATGGGTGAAGCCATTTTTCATCTCCTGTTATAGTTCTTTGAAGAAATGCTTCAGGATTTTGATCTCATTTGTGTAAAATTTCCATTGAAATCTCTGCTCTTGTCTGCAGCTTATCCGCAGCTGATCTGTACCACAGTTTTGGCACCCATTGAGTGGAAAGTTTGCTCAACTGTAATTTTGGAGTCAGAATTGTGCAAGCTGAACAAGTTGAGATGTCTACGATGTTGGCTACTGTTTCTGCTGTTAATCCTAGGTCCTCTTCAGTTAGGCCAGGAGCAAGTTTAATTTTTTCCTTGCAAATGGATGTGGAGAGTCTGCCACGGCAGGCTGCACCTTCAACATCATCTTGTCTCTTCTTTCTTCCTTTTTTTTTTTTCCCCTCTTCTTGGTGGTTGGCTGGTACAGGTATCTAAACCCTTGACCTTGGTGTTATAGGCTCTTCTTAAAATGAGTTATCCATTTGTAAACGGCTGATTTCTTTGGGGCATTGTCCCCATAAACTTTTCGTAAAGCATTAATGATTTCACCATCTTCCACCCAAGATTCACCATAAATTTGATGTTTATTCTTGCTTTGATTTTAGCATAATTCATTTGCTTTCATAGGGGCTCTTTTCAAAGTGATGTCTTTCCCCTCTTAGTGCCTCAAAACTACATCCCATTCAGACATGTTATGACAAGTTAGTACGAGTTTATTTTGGTGCAAAATATGGGAAGCATAGAGAAAGATGGTTGTGACAAAAAAGTAATAACTGAGGCACTGGGAGCAAGGATGGAGAGGAGGAGACAGGTTCCAGGCAGGTAGAATGGGCATGATTTGGCGACCAACTTGGTATAGGGGATGAGGGACAGAGACAGGGAATTAGAATGGCTTCTGGATTCTGGTTTGGGACTGAGCAGGTCTTTCACTGAGACAGGGAGCACAGTAGAGAATGTATTTATTAGGATTCTTTGGTTTCAAGTAAAAGAAGTCTGAATGGAATCAGGTTCAGCAAAGAGGGGAATTTATTATAAGTTTGTGGGAGAGGCTGGCTCTTGGAACTCAGGACAGGATTGTAGCTGGGCATCAGAAAAAAGTTAGGAGGATACAAGTACCATCAGGATTGTCCGTTTTCCCTTTTCTCCACTCTTTGTGTCTTTTTACTTTTATTTTTCTCTGAAGACCAGCATCTTTTGCATCTCTCTTCAGTTGGTGAAAATCTCACTAACTATAGTTACCTATTTTACTCCTCATCTATAGTTCAGTCACTCAGAGACCAATCTCTCTGTAAATTCCATATTCCTGGGAAAGGACTTTGATTGGGGCAGCTCAAGTCAGGTGTCATTCTGGTGCACACGGCAGTGTCCAGGGGTCAGTTACTTGTCCTTCCTGCCCTTTTCTCCTCATGACCACTCTGGCTACAAGCATGTGATGGGGGTAGTTAGTGCTTCTTAGAAAAGGTGTGCTGTGAAGACAATCCAATAGGGATCCACTTCAGCAGAGAAGATGAGGCATTCAGTTTTGTCTTTCTCTCCTGCTTTTTGAAAAGAAGTTGAAGAATAATTTATAGAGAAATGCACAGAATTTAAATGTTCAGTTTGATGAGTTTTGACAAATGTATACCCACATCCCAATCAAGATATAGAACATTTCCATCGCTCGAGAAAGATTCCTCCTGTCACCTATAGTCAATCTCCACACCTCGAAGGCAACCACAGTTCTGATCTCCATCACCATTGAATAGTTTTGCCTGTTGTTGAACTTCATATAAATGGAGTCAAACAATTTGTACTCTTTAATCTCTTTCATTCTACATAATGCATCTGAGATTGAACCATGTTATTGCTATATCAGAATTCTATTCTTTTTGATTACTGAGAATATTTCACTGTATGCACATATCACATTTGTTTATTCATTCACCTGTTGATGGACATTTGGGTTGTTTTCAGTTTTTTGTGTTTTATGAACATTTTTATAAAAGTGTTTTTAGGGTAGAGGGGAATTTACAATATTAAATGCTGACATTAGGAAAGATGAGTTCAGTTTTGAATAAATTGAGTCTGAGGTACTTGTGGGATGCTCAGGTAGTGAGGTCCTGGACTCAGAGCACAGTCTAAGGTGAAGGAGAAAGATACAGTCTAGCAATTTAAATATCTGTAGTCTCTAGCCTTTTTAAAAAAAGCCATGGGGGTGCGGGGCAGGGAAGCCATGGGAAAGTCCTTAGGTGGAGCATGAAGCCAGAGACAAGAAAATGCCCATATGTTAAATCCTGATCAATATCGATATTTGAGGAGGAAAGAGAAACCCTCTAAGGAGGCTAAGAGAAGCATGACCATTTATCTTTATGTCTCCATTACCAGGCACAGAACCCAACACACAGTCACTTCTCAATGTGCTAAATTTAACAGAACGGGTGCAGAGTACATAGTTATTGTTAGACCTTATAGAAGGAGATAGATCGGGAGGACAAATGGCATATGGGGTCTCAAAGGCCAGAATGAGAGCGGTAGATTGAAGGGGTGGGAGTAGGTAACCAGAGGACTCCACCTGTCCTTACGCAGGGTCTGAGGAGGACAAGTCATTAAAGATGAAAAGTTGGGTCGTGTCAGACTACTCAGGGCCTCAGATGGATGTCAGATTGAAGAATTTAGACTCCAACGGGCCGACCAGCCCAGGAGGAGCCATCAAGGGTTCTGGAGTAGGGCGCTACAGATGAGATTTCCTTTTGGGGCACTGGTGGTGGCGTTGGAGGTGCCGCGGCTGCTGCTGGCGACAGACAGTGCTGTGCTGTTAACCGTGGTGGTGCTTTCCCCTGGGCTTTGGCTTGGTAGCTGCTGGGGGAACAGCGCTGCCGGTGGATGATGATTTCATGCCATCCCCTGGCCAAGTGCTGTAACTTGGCCTCTGAGCCCTGCCTCTCAGCAGAAGACAGAGGCTGCTGTGCTGTTAACGGTGGTGGTGCTTTCCCCTGGGCTTTGGCTTGGTAGCTGCTGGGGGAACAGTGCTGCCGGTGGCTGATGATTTCATGCCATCCCCTGGCCAAGTGCTGTAACTTTGCCTCTGAGCCCTGCCTCTCAGCAGAAGACAGAGGCCGTGGCATCTGGCCGCAGCTGGGAGGCAGTGCGTGAGCGCCCGGCGGGGGCTGCGCGGCTGGGAACCCCGGGGCGGGGCGGGGCGGGGCGGGGCGCTCCCCCGCGCTGAGCATCCCGGGAGATGTAGTCCAGGGGCGGTCCCTGCAGCCCTGTCTGTTTCCTCCCACACCTGCTCTGTTTCGCCTTCGCTGAAGACGAGTTCCCGCTGTACCCCCATACTCCTGCCTGGCACTTCAGAAAGAAGCACTGGTTTCTAAACTCAGAGTGGGGTCCCTCAGTCCCAGCTGTGGCCACAGGATTGTGGAGGAAGAATGGGAGGGAAGGAGTATATATTTAGTTCCAACTGTGTGCCAGGCGGTTTGTTTATTTTATCTTATTTAATAGTTAAAGCTAATCTTCTGCGCGGCCCCGGCTCGCTCTAGGTCGCAGAGGCGAGCAGGGACCAGCCGGCAGCGGGCTGCGCAGGCCAGATGGGGAACCGGGAGATGGAGGAGCTCATTCCTCTGGTGAACCGTCTGCAGGACGCCTTCTCGGCGCTGGGACAGAGCTGCCTGCTGGAGCTGCCGCAGATCGCCGTGGTGGGCGGCCAGAGCGCCGGCAAGAGCTCGGTGCTCGAGAACTTCGTGGGCAGGTGAGCGCGCAGGGCGCGGGGTGGGGACCCGGCCTTTGGAACGCGGACAGGCTGCGGGAACCGGAGGGTGGCCCGTGGGCTGCGGCGGATTGGGGGGGCAGAGCGGCGGTGTCCGTTGGGCGGGCGGGGTCCTCCCGGCTCCGGGCATCCTCTGTCCCCCCCGCCTGGTGGCCCTCCTGTCTGCCTTTCATCCTGCGATACAAAGCCATTTCCTCCCCGTCCGCCGGTCGGGGAGTCGGGGGAGGGGTCCGCCCCGGGATCGACTTCCCCTCGCTCGGTGCGCGCCAGCCCCGGGCGGCTTGGATGCGTAGTGCGCCCGGCCGCTTCTCAGTCCCCCGGTCCCCTGTTTTCCTGGCTCCACAGCCCCTCCTTTTCCTGTCACCCTCGCCGAGGCTCTCCGCGAGGCTGTGGGGTTTTATCCCCTCGACCCCCACCCTCCCGCGGAGATGCTTTCCCTCCTGCCCCGGTTCTCGGAGCCTCTCAGCTGTCTACTGTTGGAGACGGTCGTCGCCTGCCCCGAGCTGGGGAGGCGGGGTGCGAGGAGAAAGAAATCGCTTGTTGTGATGGAGCTTCATCCGGAGACGCTTCCCCACCATTCTCCTCCCTGGGAGTCGGAGAATCAAAGGTGGTGTGTCTGCGTATGCACCTATTCACAACTCCAGGCCGTATGTTGGAGAGCCCAAGGCACCGACTGTGCCGGGGGTGGATGTGGACTTGTGTTGTCCAGGTGCCATGTCATTCCTGCATCATCTCGGAATTGACTAGCATCTTTCTCGCACTCTCTCTGCGCCCCCTCCCCCAGCATCATCTTCCGTTCCTTAATCTCTTATTTGTCCTAAGAGTCTTGAGGGTAATATTCTAAATCTAAATTGTAGTTACGATTTTCTTCATGACTCTTAATACAAGAAAAGCGAAAGAATTAATTTTTGAATTGGGAATCAGTATTTCTTCCACTGAGCAATTCATGAGGGATTAAGTTACCTTAATGGCCTTGCCTGAGCAGTGCAGACATTTGCTAAGAAAAGCCCATTTGGAAGCATCATGAAAGCTGAAATCTGTTTCCGAGTAGTAAACCAGGTAGAAATATACAGCAGCCGACAGAGTGGGCTGGAGGGGGACAATCCATAGATTGTGTTTTATTCTTTTTATTTGGCTCGTTAGTGACTTGGGATGCAGAAGGTTCCTTTTCCTGTTCCTTTTTTCTTTTTTTGTTATTGCTTGGTGATGTGTAAAATTTAGAGCTGCATATTCCCACATCTCCTTTGAGAATGTTAGTATTCATAAAGTGCATATTCTTTTTTCTCAGATGATGCTCCATCTCTCAAATGATAGTCTCCATCGTTTTTTTTTTGTGTGTGTTTTTGTTTGTTTGTTTTTCCTGTATGAACTAGAAAGATAAGAAACCTAATATAAAAGTAAAATGCTGACCATTGCTGGTATCCTTGAGTAATTCACTTAATTACTTTGCCTGAGTTTTATCATTTATTAATGAGAAAAGTGATGATGATGCATTTTGCCTACATCATCTTAGACTTCTGGTGAAGTGATGGATGAATGTGTGATTTTAAACATATACATACAACAGTTAATTTATTGCCAATGAAATTCTCTAGATTTAAAGTGGCATCCAAAGGGAGTGAGGTTTGATAACAATATATTTTTGGCTTTCCAAATGTCAGAGAAGTTTATCATGATGCCTTAAGAGTTAGCTACTTTTGTT